ATCTGCCATACAACACTGTGGCTATGTGGTACTATACATGTAAAACTCTGTTAAGAGGTTAAGAAAAACAATTACAAATTTTTTTAGAGACAAGGTATCGCTCTGTCACCCAGGCTAGAGTGCAGTGGCAAAATTATAGTTCACTGCAGCCTCCAACTCCTAGGCTCAAGTGATTCTCCTGTCTCAGCCTCTGGAGAATCTGGAACTACAGGTGCATGCCATCATGCTCGACAAATTTTTTTAAATTTTTTGTAGAGATAAGTCTCCCGTCGTTGCCAGGCTGGTCTTGAACTCCCGGCCTCAAGAGATCTTTCTTCCTCAGCCTCCCAAAGTGCTGGGGTTACAGAAGTGAGCTACCATCCCAGCCAAAATTACTATTAAAAAAAAAAAGAAAAGAAAAACTATATCTACAACATGGAAGAATCTCACAAACATAATGATGCAAACTAGAAAGACTCAGTAGAATACATATAGTATCATCCCATTTATAGAGCTCAAAACCATGCAAAACTGAACTGTATTATTTACAGATGCATAGATCAGGGCAAACTACGAAGACAAGAAAAGCATTATCATAAAAATTGGGACAATAGGGCCTGGCGTGGTAGCTCATGCCTGTAATTCCACTACTTTGGGAGGCTGAGGCGAGCGGATTACCAAAGGTCAGGAGTTTGAGACCAGCCTGGCCAACATGGTGTAACCCCGTCTCTACTAAAAATAGAAAAAATTAGCCGGGTATGGTGGTAGGCGCCTGTAATCCAAGCTACTCAGGAGGCTGAGGCAGAAGAATCACTTGAACCCAGGAGGTGAAGGTTGCAGTGAGCCAAGATCATGCCACTGCACTCCAGCCTGGGCAACAGGAGCAAAACTCCATCTCAAAATAAATAAATAAATAATTGGGACAATAGTTATCCCTAACATAGGGAGGAGGTATGAAGAGAAAGATACACTTCTGGGGTCCTGGGATCCTGGTAATACTCTATTTCTTTCTTGATCTAGATGATGATTATGTATAACTGTAATTTTATACTGAGTCTTCACGTTTACTATGGATACAATATAATTTTTATGCATAACTAAACTTCATAATTTCTTTGTAACTATTCTTTAAATTATGTAAGTTTTTTTATTTTTTTATTTTTTTGAGACAGATTCTCACTCTGTTGCCCAGGCTGGAGTGCAATGGCATGATCGTGATCTAGGCTCACTGCAACCTCCACTGCCCAGGTTCAAACGATTCTCGTGCCTCTGCCTCCCGAGTAGCTGGGATTACAGACATGGGCCACCATGGCCGGTTAATTTTTGTATTTTAGTAGAGATGGGGTTTCACCATGTTGGCCAGGCTGGTCTCGAACTCCTGCCCTTAAGTGATCCACCTGCCTCAGCCTCCTGAAGTGCTGGGATTACAGGTGTGAGCCACTGTAACTCTTGGTTTCCAGCCAAATTATGTATATTTTTACAAATGTATCTTGGTCTCATAATAAATTTTTTTTTTTTTTTTTTGAAATGGAGTCTCACTCTGTCGCCAGGCTGGAGTGCAGTGGTGCAATCTCGGCTCACTGCAATCTCTTCCTCCTGGGTTCAAGTGATTATCCTGTCTCAGCCTCCCGAGTAGCTGGGATTACAGGTGTGTGCCCCCATGCTCAGCTGACTTTTACGTTTTTAGTAGAGATGGGGTTTCACCATGTTGGCCACACTGGTCTTGAACTCCTGACTTCATGATCCGCCTGCCTAGGCCTCCCAAAGTGCTGGGATTACAGGCGTGAGCCACCGCCCGGCCAATAAAAATATATTTTAAAAAAATTAGGCTGGGCACAGTGGCTCATGCCTGTAATTCCAGCACTTTGGGAGGCCAAGGTGGGTAGATCACCTGAGGTCAGGAGTTTGAGACCAGCCTGACTTGGTGAAACCCCATCTGTACCAAAAATATAAAAATCAGCTGGGCGCGGTAGCGTGTGCCCATAATCCCAGTTACCCAGGAGGCTGAGGCAGGAGAATTGCTTGAACCCAGGAGACAGAGGTTGTAGGGAGCTGCGATCATGCCACAGAACTCCAGCCTGAGCAACAGAATGAGACTCCATCTCAAAAAAAAAAAAAAAAAAAGGAAAAATTAGCAACAAATAACAGATAAAGAATTAGTATTAAAAACATATAAAGAATATCCAGTTCCAATGAACAAATGTTCAGGGAATATAAACACAACAGCTCACCAGAATATATATACACTAAGTAAACTTATGAAAAAATTGTCAAATTTTTCTAATAATTAATAACATGGAGCATCATTTCATACCTATTAAGCCAAAGAGAGAAGAATATTGCGAAAATTTATAAGATAAATGACAAGCATGAAGACTGATTTGTTAAAAGAAATAATTTGTTCAGATTTTTATTTTATTTTTTGGTAGACATGGAGTTTTGCCACGTTGCCCAGGCTGGTCTTGAACTCCCGGGCTCAAGCAATCCCTTACCTTGGCTTCCCAAAGTGCTGGGATCACAGGCATGAGCTACCGCGCCCAGCCAAGAAATGATTTAATATTGAAAAAAGCAGGCCAGGCGTGGTGGCTCACACCTGTAATCCCAGCACTTTGAGAGGCCAAAGTGGGCAAACTGCTTGAGCCTATGAGTTCGAGATCAGCCTGGACAACATGGCGAAACCCTATCTCTACAAAAAATCAAAAGCCCATCTCTACAATAAATACAAAAATTAGCCAGGTGTGGTGTTACACCCCTGTACTCCCAGCTGAGGTGGGAGGATCACTTGAGCCCGGGAGGTTGGAGCTGCAGTGAGCCCTGTCTTAAAAAAGAAAAGAAAAAAAAAAAAAATTCCTCAAGTGTCAGGTTAAAAAAGAAAGAAAAAAGAAAAACACTAAGTTATGAATACATTAAGGCTATAGCTACCTAAGAAATCTGTATAGCTAAATCTGTATAACTAATTTTATAGCTGAAATTTGGAAAGGACTCATGGAAAATAAAAATAGTTCAAGTGTTTGAAAGATAATATTATGACTGGAATATTTTTCTTGACATTGAGAATATGTTTCAATAAAATACAGGAACTTTTAAACAAAGTAAACTCAATAGTTCCCTGTCATTCCAGAGAACACAATCGGTATGTCATAACTCCAAAAACTTTCACTCTCGGTCTTCGACTTGTATTTTTCATTCAGCTAACATCTACAGTGACTACTCTGTGCCAGTCATGGTAGGCACTGAGGTACAGAGATGGGCAAGTCATTATTACTGCCTTCAAGGAGCTTATAGACTAGCAGAAAATAGACATGTCAACAAATAATTACAAAGCAATGAGATAAGTCCGACAATCAAGTCTTTTCTTAAAAGACTATGGCTTCACAGATTAAGGAAAAACAGGCAAAAGATAGAGAAGCTTTTCAAAGAACACTGAATTGGATCTTGAAGGACAAGTGGAACTTTACAGACAGGACTGAGGTTGTGAAGAAGACTAGTCTATGAGTGGTACAAAGGCTGAGGTAGAATAGTATGTGTTAAAGAAACAGAATGTTCAAAAGCCTCAAGTATCATGCTAAGGAGTTTAGATTTTATCCTACAGGTAATGGAGACCCTCACGGCCTTTCAGCACTGAAGTCCTAGGATTATTCTACGATTATCTTGGACCTCTTTTATTCTATCCTTTTTTTATCTTAGAAAAAAATATGTAAATTAAAAGATATATATATCTTTTAATTTTTAATATTTCTTACATGAAGATACAGAAAATAGAATTACACCCATGTACCCACTAACCAAATTTAAAAAGTTAAATTGGGCCCTATTCCCTCTCTTTTAAAGGCATAAAACATTTCAGAATGATTGACGAAGGAATCTCACTCTGTCATCCAGGCTGGAGTGCAGTGGTGCAATCTTGGCTAACTGCAGCCTCCTGGGTTCAAGCGATTCTCGTGCCTCAGCCTCCGCAGTAGCTAGAACCACAGGCGCACAGCACCACGCCCAGATAATTTTTGTATTTACTGCAGAGAGGGGGCTTCATCATGTTGGTCAGGCAAGTCTCTAATTCCTGGCCTCAGCTGATCCGCCTGCCTGTCTCCCAAAGTACTGGGATTATGGAGAAAGTCTGATGTTGTGGGACATGATTTAAAATCAGGCGCTCTTAGTTCAAATTCTGTATCTCTAGCACTTAATCGCCAAATGCTCTTTCTGTACAGAGACAACCTCTTTATGCTTCAGATTCTCCATGTCTAAAATGAGAACAATTTCATCCGCTTCTCTGGGTAATAATAACAGAACCCTTACTGTGTACTATGTAACAGGTAGTCTTCGAAGCATTTATTATTGCATACATTAAGTCGTTTAATCCTAACAAAAACGCCAGGAAGTAGAAGAGACCATTTCCCCCATATGATAGACGAAAACCAAGACACGTAGTGTTTCAGTAACGTGCAGTAGACACAGCTAAGCGTGAAGGAGCTAGAATTCGAACCCAAGCAATCTGATGCGGTATTCTTAATCACTTCGCTTTGCTGGGATATCGTGAAGCTACAGTTGTAAGATCATGGGTGCCAGGAACACGGCACACAGTAGACACTCAAAAACAAGAGTAGCCCAGTTCGTGATTATGGAAGGCCATAGAAAAAGTACAAAGTGTTTTCGTTGTTCCTCAGGAGGGACACGGAGGTAATAGTGCCAGAGGTCTGGGCTGGGATTACCCTGTGCGGGGCATCATGTTAGGCACCGGAGTACATGGGCAAGAACATGCCGGGTCCTAGCCCATACTCGGCCTCCGACGCTCCGGGAGACCTTGGCAGAGTTCGCCCCTGCCCTGGGCCTCTGTTTTCCCATCTGGGAACGTATTATGTATCTGCTGTCCTCCCAGGATGTTCGCCAGACTAAATGACTCAGCGGGGCGAGGCGAACCAGTGCAGGAAACGGAAGAACTCGTGCGGCCTCCAGCTCCAGGCGGGACAGCCAGAGCAGGGCTAGGTCAGCGCGGATCGACCCGTAGTTACGCGCGCGGCACTCACCTCGCATGCAGACTCCAAGCGGGCGGAACCAGGATACAAACTCCCCGCGGCGCGACCACGGCTGCCGCGCAGAGATCTCGCTCACTTCGCGCCGGAAGTCTGCCTATTCCGATTGGCTGCTTTCTGGGGAAACCGACCAATACTGTCGTACCCCCACGTCTGTTCCCGCCCCTCAGGCTGCTGGGGCGGGGTCGCCGTGCGGCGCCGGGAGGGGAACGTATCTCCAAACCCCAATCAGAGTCCGGACGGGAGGGTCAGGTGACTACGGTTACATCCCGGGCTTCCGGCGCTACTTGGGTCTTTGTTTTTGGTGTTTTAGAGTCAGTGAAGGCTTTAAAGGAAGTAGGAAGCTAGAACCCGGCTGTGGCGGGGTTGAAAAGCTCGGGCGTCTGAGAGCTGAGACTTGCCAGTTCCCACAGGCCAAGCCAGGCGTCTTCACCCCCGTCTCTTGGTTCCGACGGTGTGTCTCTGCGAGGTTTTGGCGGTCTTGCCTCTCCATCCCCTTAATAATGCTGGTCTCTTCACCCGTACCCCTCTACACGAGCAGGTGCAAATTGTCATTGAACCGGGAAAGGGGGCGCACACTCAGATGCCTCCAGGGACACGTGAGAAGCCATGCTTCTGTTTCAGCCTATTGCTGACACGCGGAAATGTGGGCCCTGTGGTGCCAGATCTTACTTTCTTTCCTTCCTCTCGTCTCCCCTCTCTACTTCCTTCCTTCTCTCCTTCCCTCCCGCCCTCCCTCCTCTTTGTGTGTGTGGTAAAATGTATCTAACATAAAATTCACCATTTTTAAGTGTACAGTTCAGTGGCATTAAGTACATTCACATTGTTGTGAAACCATCACCACTATCCATCTCCAGAACTTTTTCATTATCCCAAATAGAAAATCTGCCTATTACACAGTATCTTCCCATTATCCGCTTCTCACAACCCCTGATAGTCAATATTGCACTTTCTATCTGTAAATGCTAGGTACTGCATATAAATTGAATCATACAATAATTGCTCTTTTTTGATTGGGTTATTTCACTTAGCATTATGTCTTCAAAGAGCATCTATGTCGTAGCATGTATCAGAATTTCTTCCTTCTTGAGGCTGAATAATATTCCATTATACATGTATACTACATTTTGTTTATCCATTCATCCATATAAATGGATGCTTGGTTATTCCCACCTTTTGGCTATTGTGAATAATACTGCTGTGAAATTTGGTATACAAATAATCATTCTCCACGTAATACGCAGAAAGACTTTTCTAAAATGTAAAAATCTGTTCAAGTTACCACCCTCCTGAAAATCTTCTATTGTAAATTGAAACCAAAATATGATGCTATTAAACACTCCATAGAATAACTGAAATGAAAAAACTGACAATTCCCTTAGTTGCAAAGATGCAGAAATGGGACTCTCATACAGTGTTGATGGAAGTGTAAAATGGTATAATCACTTTGGAAACATCAGTCTCTACCGAAATTAAATTTACTCCTACCCTATACCCCAGAAATCCCATTTCTAGATATTTACCCCAAAAAATGAATGCCTTTGTTCACCAAAAGACTTATAGCAGCTTTATTCATAATAGCCAAAGGTAAAGAACTCAGATGTCCACCAATAGATGAATAGATACATTGTGGCTTATTCATATAACTGTATACTACTGTTGAAGAGTAATTTTAATATCAAATATAATCATACAGATATAAAATAAATGTTAGACATTTTATCTAACTCATTAATGAATGAGAGATCCAGAAAGATTACAACTGCTTCAATGGAAAATTCAAAGTACCTCACACACAGTCAAATGAGGAATAATGAAATAGCTACAAATATATACAAAAACTGGCAGAACTGATCAAATCCACAGCTCAGTAATCAATTGCATTCTACTGAAAACAATTTGCATTTCTATAGACAAGAAGTATCTATAGTTTGTAAAACCTCCGAGTTGTTCTGTAGCTCAAAGACAGTGAAAGGTTTAGAGTCCTCATACAATCAGACATCCTAGAAAGGTAAGCTGGACAGCTGGGTACCTTGTTTTTCAATGACACCCAGTAATCATTTCTTTGTTGTTTGTTTTTAGATGGAGTCTTGCTCTGTCACCCAGGCTGGAGTACAGTGGCGTGATTTCAGCTCACAGCAACCTCCACTTCCCGGGTTCAAGCGATTCTCCTGCCCCAGCTTCCTGAGCAGCTGGGCCTACAGGTACGGGCCACCACGCCTGGCTAATTTCTTGTATTTTTAGTAGAGATGGGGTTTCACCATGTTGGCCAGGCTGGTCATGAACTTCCGACCTCAGGTGATCTGCCCGCCTTGGCCTCCCAAAGTGCTGGGATTACAGGCTTGAGCCACTATTCCTGGCCCCAGTAATCTTTTTTAGACCATTTCAAAGCTTTTCTCAGTTTTTTTCTGTATTACAAAGTAATAGGAGAACAAACTACTGGTACATACAATATAGGTGAAGCTCAGACACTATGCTGAGCACAAAAAGAGGCAGATAAAAGAGTATATAGTGCATACCAGGTTACCTCTGGAGGCAGAGGTAGACTAGGAAGCTCCACAAGGAAATCTTATGGAGTGCTGGAAATTACATATCTATCTTACATAGACATTTAGTATATTTAAAGTAATATATAAATCATTTATATATAAAATCATTATATACATATAATCATTGAGATATGTATTTTTTCAATTTTTTAAAATTTGTTTTTATTTTTTGAGACAGGGTCTGGCTCTGTTTCCCAGACCAGAGTGCAGTGGTGCCATCTTCACTCAGTTCAACGTCCACCTCCCAGGCTCAAGCAATTCACCCACCTCAGCCTCCTGAGTAGCTGAGACCTCAGACACATGCCACCACACTTGGCTAATTTTTGTATTTTTAGTAGAAATGGGGTTTTGCCATGTTGCCCAGGCTGGTCTCGAACTCCTGGCTTTAAGTGATCTGCCAGCCTCAGCCTCCAAAAGTGCTGGAATTATAGCTGTGAGCCACCTTGCCTGGCCAAGGTATGTATTTAAGATTAATATGAGTGCACAAGCCTTTCATCACCCTACGCTAACATCCACAGAATCCTTCCAGATGGGAGGTAAAGGTTGCAGTGAGCTGAGATCACACCACTGCACTCCAACCTGGGTGACAAAAATAATCTATCTCAAAAAAAAAAAGACACACACACACACACACACACACAATCCTTCCAGCAGCTCCCATTTGCCTTCAAGCTGAAGACCAAACTCCAATTGAGTCCCTACTTCCTCTCATGTGTCATCTGTCCCTAATCCCCATTTTGCTGACATTTCCTCAAGGTGTTTTATAGTCTTTCCAGTTTCCTGGCCTTTGCCTCCAAATCATACCTCTCATTCATCTCAGGTCTCAGGACAACTTTTCTGCAAGTCGTTGGAGAAGTTGGGAAGTTGGAAAGCCTTACCTAATCCTCCAAATCTGCCTGTGTGTCCCTCCTGGGTTTTCCCAAAACATGAGTCAGCATTTGTATTGGTTGTATTGACACTATTAGTGTGCCTGTCTTCCTCTACAGAATATGCTCTCCATGAGGGTGTTCTTCAGGGCCTACCACAATGGCTGGCACTAGAGAAGGTCAGTGAAGACAAAAACAATAAGATAATTAAGGCCATGTGAGACAGCAACAATATTAGCTGAGTGTCACCCTTTATTGAGTTGTGAGTATCCAACCTCTCACTTTGGGGGATACTGTTTGAGCCTAAATAACATTAGTGGCTTTATTCATTTGGTAGATTGTTTGTATCTTCGCGTTGTCTCTATCCTGCTTTTTCCTTGGCCATTTTGCTGTTAGAAATCTGCTTGATTTACTCTGCGTTTTCCCATAGAGAAGGGTAGCCTGAGGAGTTATTTAACAATGATGTGTTTTGGCCAGGCACGGTGGCTCACGCCGGTAATCCTAGCACTTTGGGAGGCCGAGGCAGGCGGATCACAAGGTCAGGAGATCAAGACCATCCTGGCTAACACGGTGAAACCCCGTCTCTGCTAAAAATACAAAAAATTAGCCGGGCGTGGCGGCGTGCACCTGTAGTCCCAGCTACTCAGGAGGCTGAGGCCAGAGAATGGTGTGAACCTGGGAGGCGGAGTTTGTAGTGAGCCAAGATCGCACCACTGCACTCCAGCGTGGGTGACAGAGTGAGACTCTGTCTCCAAAAAAAAAAAAATAATAATGTGTTTTGTTTTTGCAACAAGTAAAAATTGACGTATTTCACCCACATGTTCATTAACAGATGAATGAACAAACAAAATGTGGTATATCTAACACGCTGGGTGTGGTGGCTTACAGCTGTAATCCCAGCATTTGGGGAGGCTGAGGTGGGTGGATCAGTTGAAGTAAGGAGTTCAAGACCAGCCTGGCCAACATAGTGAAACCTTGTCTCTACTAAAATTACAAAAAAATTAGCCGGACTTGGTGGCATGCCCCTGTAACCCCAGCTACTCGGGAGGTTGAGGCAGGAGAATTGCTTGAACCTGGCAGGTGGAGGTTGTAGTGAGCCAAGATTGTGCCACTGCACTCCAGCCTGGGCGACAGAGAGAGGCTCCATCTCAAAAAAAAAAATAGTAGTATATCCATACAGTGGAATATCATTCGGCCATGAAAAGGAGTGAAGCTCTGACACATGCTTCAACATTCTGAGTCAAATATGCCAGACACAAAAGAACAAATACTATCTGACTCCATTTATATGAAATATTTTGAATAGGCAAATTCATAGAGATAAAGTAGATTAGAGGTTTCTGGAACTGACAGTAGGAGGGAGGGAAGAATGAGAAGTTATTGCTTACTGGGTTCATAGTTCCCATTTGGGGGGATGAAAAAGTTAGAAATAGTAGCAATGGCTGTACAGCATTTTGAATGTAATTAATACCATTGAGTTCTACACATAAAAAGCTTAAAATGGCAGTTTATTTCATACATATTTTACCACACACACAAGCAGTTGCTGTGAAAAAAAACACAACATATTTTACACACACATGAAAGCCCCAGTCAAAACAGAAATAGATTTTCAGTTTTTCTTAAAAAAGATGAAAGAAGAAAGGGTGGGAGGGTGGGAGGGAAGGAGAGAAGGAAGGAAGGAGGG